AGAATCCTGCCTCATAAATCGCCTAGAGACGCACCTTGAACCCCCAGCTCTGTAAGTTAGTAGATTTTTGAAAACATAGCTATCTTTTCCAGAGGCGATTTGAAAACCGTCGGGTTTTGAGGTGCGTCTCGAGGCGATTTTTGAGGCGGGATTCTGTTTTTTATTTACTGTGAGACAGTAAGTAATAAAGTAATAATAAGGCCGGGGAGAGTATTTTTCAGAGTCCAGATTTTGACTAAGCTTCTAGATTTCTAAATTGTCTCATTTGTGTTTCTTTGTTAACTTTGACGTTGGGTTAAACGTGTTATATGTTTGTTTGTGTGTTTGGGCTTTCATTTTTAATAAATGTGACTGCATAATGACAAGCAATATCAAAGCTGTCATCATCATGGGTTTGCTTTCACATGCATGGCAAAAATCATAAGAAGACAATGAGATGAGATCGTTAATATGGCCATAAACACCACTTCATTCATTTTGTAAAACCAACATGCTTATCATAGAACATAATGACAAACTCAGCATTTATGGAAGTAACAAAAAAGGAAGGGTAAAATGCAAGCCTTAGAAAATGGGAAAGCATGAAGCAAGCCAAAAAAAAATGGACAGAGCTTATGCTGATTAAAAAGTACCATTATTCCCATACAGCTCTGATGGAAAGTTGATGGACATCCATCACAGCAGATCAGATCCCCTCCATCACCGCATATACCACAAGTATCATCATTTGGATCATCACCATCAATGTCTACTGAACAGAAACCCTGACGTTCTGACTCAACCTGTCTATTCCATGCATCTGTAAGGCACTGCAACAGAGAAGCTCCACATTCCAACACTATGTTTTGAAATGGTTGGCGCAGTTTGCTCCCTGCATGGAGCTCAAACTTAGACACAGTAAGGATTTTACTACAGCAGCCACAGTGAATGCCATCTCGTGTGATCCAGCCTTCTAGCTTTGTACGTGTTTTTCTACGGTTCATATACTGGACCTTTTCACTAAGTTTGACTGTCCCCGAGTCTATCATCCATGCCAATAATGTTCTTTTCCCAGAATAAGGAATATACCCATCACTTTCTGAATTTTTTCCATTATCGGAACCACGGACCAACAAAGTACATCTTCCAGTTATTTTACTTTTTCTTCCCTGGACTGAACTGCCAGCAGGTGATACAGAGGACTTTCCAATCATGTCCTTGAGTCTCCCAGCTTCTGAGATCGAGACAATTTTGTGTGTATCAAACTCATTCCTTTGATGTCTTGAATGAAGCTTTCCTTTTAGCGACTTACCACTCTTCTTTATGTAGCTACTGAGCCGCTCATCATGCTGATCACTGTCTGTACCTTCTGCAGACTCTTTTCCAGAAGTCTTCTTTTTATCCTTACTGGAACTGTGATCTTTTTTCTTTTTTTTCAAGTCTCTTTCAATTCTCTTTCTGGTTTGCCTCGTTAGCTTGTTTATATCTTCCGATATAGGAGAAAAAGGAGCTGCAGATTTCTTTGCACCACCATCCTCCTCCAACTTTTTCAAAAAAGCATCATAAGCCTTAACTATTGACCAATAGCCTGTTCCAGAAGGACTTATATAGACTGAGTCTATGTAATCTCTGTTCCGCCTTGGTCTATAATCAATAGTCCAGCCAGCATCCATCAAAATTCCCCTAATTTTTTCACGCAGTTGTTGTTTCTCAGTGCTTGCACCGCCTCTAGTTTTTCCTTGTTTATTAGTGGGAGGAATTATTTTGTCCGTTGAAATTTTATTTTCTTCCTTTTTAACTATATTCAATGAGTTACAAGCTGGTGTAGTTGTTGGAGCCACCTTAGATGATTGACCATCCCCATCTGTTTCGGAATCACTGGCTGGAGTATTTTCATTCACCAATACTTTACAGGATTTCATCTTACTCTTCTCCCTTTGAAGAGACAAATGTCGCTTTTCAGAACCCAAGCAAATTTTAGGTTGAACTTCTAGCTTCTTCTTGATGAGGTTCTTAGACGTTGTGTGTTCCCTACTCCCAGAATCATGACAATCATACTTTTTATGTGACAACTCCGCCTTTGTGTTCACCATTACCTTCAATACCCCATTTTTCCCCTGCAACCTGATGGATTCCTTTGGCGATTTTTTATGCTTCGACTTCAGCATGGAGATGGGAAAATCTGCATCATCTTCCTCTGCAACAATTCTTCTCTTACCTGTACGGTTAAAATCCTTATTTTTGTTTCCCAAAGCATTGGCTGAACTATCCAAATTCAACTTCATCTTTTCCGCAACCTTTACCCCACTAGACCCTTTTTTGAATTCCCGAGAGCTCCCTGTTCCTCCTTCCATCCCATCTCCATTTCTATTCCTCACAGCTGTCTGATCAAATTCATCATACTCATCAAAGTCGAATAAATCTAACCTACTCCGTTTCCCATTACTTCGGGTATTGTTATTATTCCCCTCAGCCCTTCTCCTGTATGTTACGGGGCTCTTAAGTTCATCACTTTTCCTCTTACAAGATTCTAGCAACTCATCACCCGAACCTGAATCGTGTGTGATAACCCTGGGTCTCTTCTTTTGGTTCTTCTGCAAAGACTCTGACGAGCCTATCGTACCCCTTCGAGTACCTCCCACTTCACAGTCTTTTTTCCTGATAATCAAACAGCCAGGAGACTTTTTATCTTTTGCCACACAATCCGAGCTCACAGGCTCCTCCATGAAAACTAAACCTTGAAGTCAATTAAGTTTGAATTAAATTGACCCCATCAAAATTGAAGGATACCCCTTTCACTCTTCAGAGTAGCATATCAGATCTGAAACAAATGAAAAAACTATAGAGCTACGGAACATCCAAGACCTAAAAAATAAAATCTTGGTGCAATGTAGAGGGTCCTGCAGCGCATGAGAAATTCCAGTGACCTTACCTCGCCGGTAAGTAAGCTCGATTCCACCAAGACAATCAATCCATGGTGTCGTTGCGTAATTCTACGGCTAGCCAATCGCCAGAAACAGAAAAAGCGTAGGGTGAAGAAAGAAAGAAAGAAAAAACAAATAAGCTCTCTGAGGTTTCAAATTCTCAATAGCCTTTCGAAGAGGAGCCTAATACATTCTCCGCACATGATTTACTTCAAAATTGCGCATTAGATGTTTTAATCCTTCGAAATTACTCCGTATATTGTAATCATGTCTATTATACTACCTCCGTTCTCTTTTAATTGCAACATTGGACTTTTTGCACTATTTACATATTCTACTTTGACTATGTTTTATTCATTAATGTATTACAAATTAAAATTTTTAAAAAATATTTTTAAATTCTTCTCATTCTAAATTTTCAAAATCCTATTTTTTGAAATTTTTTAATAATAAGGAATGAAATATATTAACGGTCAAACTCGTGCGTTGGCAAACGTGAAATGTGGACCGTTGCAATTAAAAAGGAACGGAGGAAGTAAGTTATAACTATGCTCGCATGTAATTAATTGATTTCACGCATGTTTTTGTACTACTGACTGCAAACTTAGAGCCCGTTTGGAGACCCCTTTTTTCGGCTTATCAGGCTTATCAGCCAGCTTTTTCACCAAACACGTAATTTTTTCTTTCGCGTGCTAAATTGTGTAATAAGCAGAAAAAGTAAAGTTGGAGTTACTTTTCTGGCTGTATTGGCTGAAGTTACTGTAGATGACCATTTTAGCTATTTTTACATGTAATTTTTTCTTTATTTTATTAATAAAGTATATTTTTAAAATATTTTTTTCTAGAATCAGCCAAAACAGCCACTTCAGCCAGAACTTCATAAATTTCAGCAGAAACAGCCAAAACAGCCGATTTTCGTGCTACCAAACGGGCTCTTAATTAATTTTTTTATTTGTGGAAAGTGGCTTATATTGATATCATCATAGCATACAGATATGAGCTAAACAAACAAAAAGACCGCTAACAACTGTCGTCCATCGAATCAAACTCAGAATTAGCATTAGCATTCGGAAATGGAGTAAGCCTCACTCAATCATAATGTAAGAGTCTTACAATAATAAAAGTAAGCAACAGAAAAATAAACTGTTTAATCGTGAAAAATATAACACAAGCAAATGGTAAAATTAAAAAGATGCTTCCAAACCCTAGACTCTCCTGCACCCATGATCGAGGGCGGTTCAGGAGGTGGACGATCCAACAGTACCGAAGCTTCTTCCTCACGTTGTCTCTTATTCATCAGGTTCTCTACCAAGCCTCCTTTGTCGCCACCTAACACAGATGACCTCGAATCCAGATCTGTTCCAACCTCAAGCTCCACGCTTCGTCCATGACCTTTGGCCGCCAAAGACCAAGCATCCATCTTCCGTCCCTGCACAACCTTCGGCCGCCAGAGATTAAGCATCCTCTTCCCTCCACTTAATCTCGCAAAGCAAAAGAAGAAGAAACACACAATTGATGGCGGAAGAAGAAACTTTGTAGGACTAAGCCCGCCTGCGGCGGCCGCTCCTCGTCATAAAACGATAGCGAAGGAAAAACCCTAGCGGTGGAAACCCACCCTAGAGAGAGAAGGAGCCAAAAAATATCTCTAAATATATGTAAATAATCAGACTTAGAGTTAATCATCTCAACAGAAGCAATATAGCTCATAGATCCATTAATGGGCGCAACTGAATCAAAGACGATCACCGCAGACTTCCTGTCACCCAAATCCAAGCTCAAAGTTTTACAATGCAAAAAAATACTACGTAACAAACTGAAAGTAAACAAAGCACCCAACATCATAAAAAAGTAAAAAACAAGTGTGACAAAAAAATCAAAACCCTACTCCGTTTTCCAGTAATAAAATCCCAAAAGTCATCTCGAGCGTGCTACCTGAGACTTTGCAAACGCAAATAAATAAATAAAAACCTTTTTCATACTCGTATAATAATTTTGGTTTAAAGATTTTTATTCATATCTTACTTGCATCTTAAATAATATGGATGTTGAAAAAAACTAGGATCGCTCGCATAAGTCTTGATAGACTTTTCTGTTTTACAATAGTATATAGTTTTTTAATACCTAGAACTATTAGTAAAATATATAAATCATGTTAAATGAGTATTGTAGTATCCATAGATAAATGTTTGTACGAAGTAACTATAAAGAAAATTGTATACATTACAAAATATTTATATATTACAAATTTTTTATTTTTTGCATAGACCTGAAAAGAGGTTTGGCTTTTTGTGATTCTTATCTACAAATAATTGTCATATCAATTTTTTCAAATGATCCCAATATTACAAATTCCTGGAATCATTATATTCAAATAATTGCTACATCAACTAATAGAGAGCGAATTCCTAAAATAGTATAAATACCTAATTATTATCATATTTAAATAATGTTTTTCTTCTCTTGCTCTAGTTTTAAAATACTATCACAGTATTATAATTGCACAAAAGGTCACAATATGCAACACACCATCTCCTATTTCAATAAATCAATTAAAGGCGACTTCTTATGCATAATGAAATGTATAAGAAGTTCTGACCTATAGTGACTCGGTGGGAAGTTCTGGATTATTCCAGTGTCTCGGACTTACATCTTGTTCTTAGAAGTTCTGTATTACTTAGCGAAGTTAGGACCACCTGGTGCTAACAAGAACAATATAATAGAACACGATGCCTACTTTTGATAATTATTGAATTTTTTAGGTTTCAAATTATGGTAAGCAACACATCTTTTATCTGTAGGTAGTTTACTTCCACATTTTGGAACTCTGGACTCCTACTTGTCAATGATTAGGCCGGTTTTTAATTGTATATCTTTGCTAGTGCCATCACATGTATCAAAATTAGTTTATAATATGCTCAAGAAGACGAGGAGTGACATCTAATTTTAATTATATGGTTACCTTCTCGACTAAAGTTAAGCATGATTATGAAAGCGGCTATTTTTTTTTTGCTTGGATCAGATTCAATCGAAATTTGAGGACTATAACTATAATGGACATGCGGAACCAATTTCAAATATATATAATCCGATATAATGTAATACATCTATATATAAATACTTCGTAATGTGTGTGTTGGAACAAAGTATATTATTTCGTTGATGACAAACAATCAATGCTACATTTATTTTATAAAAGGATGCATGAAGAGAATTAAGGAACTCACATTCTGGAACAAGCCAACAAGCTCTACCCGAGCCTTGAATTAGGAACTACTCATTCAAAAATGATTAAACCGAAAGCCTTGAATTAGGAACTACTCATTCAAAAATGATTATAATTCTGATTTCTAACTAGAAGCCTTTATATTTTAAATAGGAGTCTTATAACTGATTTGTATTCTTTGTGAGTCTTAAAACCAGAACCCTTAACATTATAGCAATTTGAGAGTATTTTTTTAATTTTATGTGGTATGATTCAAACATTTCAGTCTGTGATACAACATCTAACTGAACTTCACTTTTATTCTTTTCTTTATAGATGCTATAGTGCAGCAACACAATGGTTGGAACTACTTAATTGGGAAACCGAAAGTCTGCCTTTTTCAGCATTAAGAAGCAGAAGCTAAAATTATCAAAGAGTTGGGCATCTTGAGGTAAGTTCTGACAGAAGGAGAACATTAGATCATTGTTAGCATACATTTCTTTGTTTTTTGATTTCCAGAATGAGTTCAACATAGGAGGTCTTTATGCATTTGGCGATGAAACAGCATGAGAGAGGGACATAGCAGACACAACCATAATGAATAGAGACTGAGATTCGTTTTGATTCTGTTTTGGTAAGAAGACACCGGCCTCCTTAAAAAAACCGAAAAAAAAAGAGATTCTGTTTTGATTAGTTCTTGGGGAATTCTATGAAGAGATACTCTATTTATATTATGAAGGAATCTCAATTCTGGAACTTGGACAGTTCTGTTTTTTTAATGTTATTTAAATATGACATTTGTTTTATTTGAGTTGTTTTAATGTTAAAGTAAGTTGGGAGTCCAGTTCAGTTCTGGGAGTTGGACATGTTGTTTTAACTTGGACAGTTCAGTTCTTGGAGTTGGGATGTTGTTTTATTTTTGTTGTTTTAATTATTATTATAGAGTAATTTCAGAGTATTTTTGAATTGGAAAAAATACGGGTATATGACCATAACTTAACCCATTTCTCAAACAATGATTCATATAGTTTTTTTCCCAATATATGAGTAACCGTGTATTAATTAAAACGACACATGGCTACATGATTGCATTGAAAGACCAATTTAACCTCTACTAAAAAGAATTTGATTCTCTCAATTTTCGAAATCCTCATTATGTCGATTAGAGCTAAAAGTTCGGCTGGTCAGTTATGGGAAGTAGTTTAATTAAGGAAAAATTCCTAAACCTTCTGCCCTAATTTCCCCAACCAGCGTATATCGGACAGACCGTAAATCGCAAAGGCCATGCGAAGCAGTGAAGGTTACAGTCAACAATATGGTGAGTTTTGTTATGTTTTATTGCAATAATTTCCGGAATTTTAACTGCAATGATTGTAGATATTAAAACTATTTTTTAATTGCAATGATTGTAGATTAAAACTATTTTTTGCAATACATTCACAATATGAATTTTTGTGTGTGCAATGGTTGTAGATAAAATCTATTTTATTTTTTTTGCAATACATTGCGCAATAATTTCCGGAATTTTAACAGTGTGGCGCTGCAGTTAATTTTAACGGCAATGATTGTAGATTAAAACTATTTTTTTGCAATACATTGCACAATATGAATTTTTGTGTGTGCAATACATGGCATTATCGATCTACTAACGAAAAAGAATAAGGAGGGAGTAGCAGAGAATTAGTTTATGCAGAGGGGAACAAACATGGAAAGAGGTTACCTTACCTTCCGGAGTGGTCTCTTCAGCGGCAAAAAAATGTAAAATTGGCTATTCCAATTACTACTTACACGATTTACTTAGGAGGGTAAAAAGGGAATAGATTTTTTAATTAAATGGCCGCATGATGCTAATTGATGGCATGAGATATCATTTTGGGAAAAAAAAAAAGATTGAACTCATAGATTGAGAAACACATAAACTTCTAGTCATATGGGGGGTCATTATTTCTTTTGAATTGTGTGTGGTATGTATTTATACATTTCAGTTTGTGTGATACAACATCTAACCAAACTTCACTTTTATTCCTTTCTTTATAGGTGCTATATTGTAGCTACATGACAATGGTTGGAACTGCTTAATCGAGACACGGAAAGTCTAGTCTTTCAGCATTAAGAAGTAGTTTAGGAAGGAGCAGTCCCTTTACAGATGGATTTTGTATTATGTTCGTATAGTAAAAAACATACATTCTATCACTTCTGATATATTCTATCAAGGGGCTATGTCAATAGCTAACATATTTTTTTTTTGTTTTTTTAAAAGTACATATAACGTCGGTTTCTATAAAAACTGACGTTGTATGTATTTTTTTTATTTTTTATTAAAGCTTTTGACGTCGGTTTTACACAATAACTGACGTGGTAGGTCTTAGTTATTAGAAAAAAACGGGTACTTATTACATCGGTTCTAAAATTAAATAACCGACGTGGTAACATATCTATTACGTCGGTTTAGTAACTGACGTAATATATTATGACCTATAACGTCACGACATTCCTCGTCACTTTAAAAACCGACGTGAAAGGGTATAAATAACCGACGTGAAAACCCTCTTTTGTAGTAGTGTTAAACCGGCTTTCTTAAGAATAATTTTCCTTTTCCACTCAAATTTGATCATGATTTACGCGAAACTTAAGAGGATTGTTTTTTTCTTTTAAGGAAATAATCAAAAATCATACAAAAAAAAGAGGATAAACTAAGGAAAACCATTCTCTACACCTATGAGAGAATATATCTGCCCAACATAAAATCTTTATCAGAAATCAAGCTTTAAAAGTAAAAGGATTTCTGAAAATAAAAAATGGTAGATCATGTATCTCCTCATGCAAGGCAAGTTTCCAAAGCAAAAATGTTTTTCCTTAAAGAGGATAAATAATTACATCTCTTTTAAAAGGAAGCACCTACTAAATCTTTTTCGTACAAGAAGTCTTCAAAATAAAAGGATGAATGTTTCAAAGCAGTCACAAACGGTTTCATAAAGAGTATGTTGAGGTTAATTTTAACATGTTAGCTATAGTCCAAGAACGATTAAACATTTAAACTATTAACATACTACCTTTGTATTCTACTTTACTACAATAGGGTTTGACACACTGCTTAAGGAAAAAATAGCATGGGTAGTGAACGGTGTAAAAAATTAGGGGAGAGAGTGAGAAGGTATGAAAGAGAATATAAAAAATAGAAGAAGTAAAACTAATTGAGTATTTTAAAACGAAAAACTTACTATAAATAGAAAGTGTAACAAACAAAAAATAATTCCCAAAAGGATGGAGTATGATTTTTACGTGAACACCCGAAAAGATGAAAAATCATAGGACTTTTGACGCTAAATTCAAACCAACACTTTTTTTTATTAATCGTCTCACCATTTTTACATGTACAAATAGCTTAATGAAGTCTTTAAACATTCTAGGTTAGGGGGAAGCGGAGAAGAAAAGATGAGAAGAGGGGAATCCTAAAATGGAGGGAAATCCTCCTGGTTATAGGAAAAGGGGCAAGGGATACATTCTATCCTAATGACGCGAAATTGGCATAACGAGGGAGTTAGTGTGGTCTAATATCCCCACCAGATAAACAAATCTTTAAGAAAAAAACATTTGAAACAAATAAATATATGCTTCATAAGTTCATATTAGTGAGCAAATACTTTCATAAAACAAGTTGAAAAGTGGAATATACTTGAAAGTCATATTAATGAGCAAATAAATTTTATATAATGAAGAATTAGCTGATCACGAACTTTTTGTGTATAATCATTTCCTAACGAGGCAAAACAATTTTAAGGAAAGATCTTTTAAATATGAGGTAAGGGCTTTGTCGTAGTCTCAACACATTCTCAAAAGACTATTTCTTAATTGTATTTTGAGAAGCATCTGTTAAGATGAATTCTCCATTGGATTAGGGAGTATGGTAATTAAGGACTTTGTGATAAAGTTGAGAACCACCTTCCACATGACAAGATTACAAAATTCTACTTGAAGAGGTTTGAATTGAATTGGCTCAAGAGTAAGATATAGTCTGTCTGCTTGTAATTTTTTTTTTACAAAAATGGTCATTTAGTGAAAAAGTTTTAAATTCATCCAAGCTAAGGAAGATGGAATTTTAATCCCTAGAGTGAAAGAATTTTTCTTCATTAAACCCGTGCATTTATTTTATACTCTTAGACACAATTCACCCCCTTTGTAATTCAACGGAATTATAAATACTTCCTCCGGTTTTTATTAAACTTCACTCTTTGACTTCACACAAAATAAGGAAAAAAAAATTGACTTTACTGTAGAGTACATTGTTTGGCACTGTTGAGACACTGTTTGACACTGTTTGGCACCGTTTTGATATAGATTTTTTTGCCAAAAAAGGAAATAAGGAAGTGTGAAGTTTATTTTAGACCGTCCCAAAAAGGAAAGTGTGAAGTTTATAAAAAACCGGAGCGAGTATATTCCTCTCTTGTATAATCAACCGATTCATTAATATATTCCCCTTGTGTAACTCATTAATATATTTATAAATTATTACTCGGTGCAATATAGCGTAAGATTATGTAATTGTAATTACATAATTGTAATATTGTATGTTGTAATATTATAAACGGAGTAATATTATAGATTGTGATGTTGTAAGATCATGTACAATAAGTCAATAACTCATACAAGTACGGAGTAATACATTGTAAGAGTGCAATAACATGAAAGACCCCCAAGAACCGTACCACATCATTTCCCACAAAAAACTTAGGGTTGTTTGGAACTTATTCTGATTATGCTTCTTTTTTAAAGAAGAAGCAGAATCAGAATCAGTTTTCAGAAGCTGGTCACCCCCATATTCTAAAAAAATGGATTCTAGGAGTAAATTAGAGCACCAGAATCACTTTTGCACTTTCAGCCAAACACTCAAACTTCTGATTTTGCTCTTTTAGGAAGCAGAATCTGTTTTATGAATCAGATCCAAACACCCCCTTAATCCCCTCTAACCTATCACACTTTCTCCCCATTATGGTGACCTAGATCACTTAAAACTTGTACATTTTCTTTCCATATTTATGGTAGATTCTACCATTATTATTTTATATAATTTGAAAAAGGGAAGATAAAATCCACATTTGACCCACTATAATTAATTATTGTTGGCATTGTATCTAGGTAGAGAACCGGTTGGGTCCATTTTCAGAGGAAAAATATTTTAAAACAGATAAAATAAAATGCAAGAGGGAAAGAAGTGGTAAATTTCGAAGTGACTAAACATATCCTTCATTGGTGTCTATTTATAGAGGGCAAAAATCTAATTTTTTGGCATAATTTTTTTTTTTACAATAAATTAAATTTAATGAATAATAAATGAAATTAGAGAATTGTGGGATAGTTGATAGGGTTGGTGGCTATCTTGATTGGGAAGAGAAGTCATCTATTTCGCATGCCACTATTTTTTTCTAAATAAAAAGCCACTTGACTTTCTCTAATTGGACAAATTGGTTAGTTAAAAAATATTTGTGAAATCTCATTCTCAACCTTGCATTTTGATCGATCACTTCATGAGCTCCCATGCATATAGCCATGGACTGAAACCGGACCGCCCAACCCGGGCCCAGACCATGTCCCGGGTGGACCGCACCGGGTTATAAACTCAGCGGGCTCGGGTGCCCCAAAAATGGAACCGGCCCGGCCGGTTCGGGCCCGATTAGGGCCTTTTTTCAATTTTTTTTTTGTTTTCCACAGGTTGGGCTGGGTGTTTGGGGGGGTTAGGGTGAAGGGGGGAGGGTCAGGGTTAATTAGAAAAGAAAAAGAAAAAAAAACATTGAACCGGACCGGCCCGGAACCGCTGCCTACCCAGGCCGGTTCCGGTTCACCCTTCCCAAAAAAAAGCCAGCCGGTATCAGGCCTGAATCGAAACTGGCCCAGCCCCGGGTCCATGCATACCCCCATAGTGAGGATCAAGTGGGGTCATTTTTTTATTATCTCTAATGACCTCCCCATAGTGGGTGCTTTTAGGGGAACTAAGAACAGCCTGTTTAGGAATCAGACCATATAGGTTCACTTAATCCTGGACTCGGTTCGGGCCACCCGGACCAGGAACCGGCCCGGGAACCGGCCCGGCCCGCTACTGTGCGGGACCAGCTCGGTGCTGCGGGCCCCAAACCGGTCTAAGACCCGGCCGGGCCCGGTTCGGGCCCAATTGATTTTTTTTTTGTTTTTTCATTTTTTTTGGGTTCCACCCGGGTTGGGCTTGATGTTTAGGAGGGGTTTGGGTGTGGGGGGGTGGGGGTGAGGGGGGGGTTAGGGATACTTAGGAAAGCAAAAAAAAAATAACCAAACCCAAGGCCCGGCCCGGACCCGGTAGCTACCCGGGCCGGTCCCGGGCCCAACTATGCAGAACTGGCGGCCCGCCCGGGCCTAGGCCCGGACCCGAATCCAGCCCTAGGTTCACCCTTATTATCGACACGCTTTTCTTTTTCTTCCGATTCAAAATTATTACTGATTTTATTTTGAAGAAAGCAACATGTTGTTCAAGTGCTTCTCTTTCTGGTAATTAAATCTCAAGCCGCATGTTATACGTAGTATTACTTTCTTAAGCTATAGGACCAGTGAAACTGGCCAATAATTTAGAGATGGAGGGAGTATATAACATGTTTTCGCTGCATTATATCTTACAGCAAATCCCAAAGAACCATAATGTCAATTTTATACATACAAGGAAATTCAAGCTCAATGTATCTCAATAATATACTACAGATCGAATATTCAATCATATGACCCTAAGAATTTAAAAAAACATAATCAAGGCTATTTTCCAGTTCCTTTGATATCATTATGTCCTGGATAATTGGTTTTCGTACTCGCAGCTAACTTAAACATCACATTTTAGAAAAAGATGATTCGCTCACACTAGGCAACCATTCTTTGAAGAACTCCACCCCATCTATTTCAGCATTAGATAAAGCGCCAAGAGGGGTTACAGTTATCTGCAATAAGAAATGAGGTAAATGTTGAGGCAGAAAAGATCAGGTCCCTCCGGAGGGACGGGAGGGACCGTCCGAACTTTACTGTTTGGGACGGTTCCCGGTGGAATTTTTTGATGAAATTTTTTGAGCATGTTCCTCATCAAGTCTAGTTTGTCCATACCAAATTTCAGCTCAAAATTCGACCGGGAAGGCAGTCAAATAAATTCTTGAAGCTTACTGCACATTCTGCGCATATATAAAGTGCAGTAAGTTTCAAGAATTTATTTGACTGCCTTCCCGGTCGAATTTTGAGCTGAAATTTGGTATGGACAAACTAGACTTGATGAGGAACATGCTCAAAAAATTTCATCAAAAAGTTCCACCGGGAACCGCCCCAAACAGTAAAGTTCGGACGGTCCCTCCCGTCCCTCCGGAGTGACCTGAGCAGTCCTCAATGTTGAGGATACATGAATATGACTAAAGCAAAGAGGTCAAATCCCTGCTTAAGACCGGGGTGGATTGTTCGCTCCTATTAAAAAAATACAGAAGTGATTATTACGTAGCATCATCTATAAGAACGATATCTGTAGCTAAAAATACCGGAAAATCGGTATACCGCACTTACTGTACTGAAAAATACCGGAAAATATCGAAATATTGGTATACCGTCATTTTCGGTACGGTATCATACTGTACCGATCTATTTTGGTACGGTAACGGTAAATGTTTTCAAATACCGCGGTATACCGGTATAATACCGTACCGACTCCCTACTCAACAATTACTTTTAATTCTAATATATTGTAAAAATTCATTACAATTTTGAAGCCCAAAATTAATACTTAAGTTGGTTACAAATACAAAAATACAAAAATAAAGGCCCAATTTCTCAAACTCACTATAACCTTATAGGCTTCTACTACGCTAACCTTAATGACTAATGAGTAATGTACAAATGTCAAGAAACAAGTACATCCTGTTCCAAGAGTTTGCAAGTTATGATGGTTGGACCGCTAAGTAGCTGACGAGTGAAGGGAGATACACTTATGTGACAAGTGTATCTATATAGGGATTCCGCAGGTCAAGACACACAACTTTGTTCGAAAGTTTTATTCAATTTTTAAAAAATTATAAAAAAATAACTAAATACACAATATCATATTAGGAATAAATGATTTTATATCCATGTTGTTTGGATAGTTTTATTTATTTTTGTTAGAGATCACTATTGATTTAATTATATCTATATTGTTCAAGTTATTTTAGGAGAATGTCTTACGTTTTAATATGTGACATGTTGAACTGCTTAAATATACTAATAATAATTATTGTTCAATATTGAATTGACATCAATAGATTAATAATTGTATTTCGTAACAGTTTAATATTTGATATAATAAGTCGATAGTAATAACGATTTAGTATATTTCGTTAGTCTATGATAATTTTTTGTATTGGGAGACATGCACGGCAATTTACCGATACCGTACCGTTACCGAACCGAAACTTCAGTATACCGAAATACGGTATACCGAAACTTCGGTAAGGTAAAGGTATGCAAATTTTGCATACCGAAAGTTTTGGTACGGCAAAGGTATGAGAAAAAATATAAGGTATACCGTACCGAACCACCCCTATCTGTAGCATAAATGTTAACACTAAAGTATTTAGTGTTTACCAAATAACTCATACTGGCGTATTGCCAGTGCCGTAGCTAGGGGAGGGCCAACCCTGGCCCTGGCCCAACCCAAATTTTAAAAAAAGTCTATAATTTTAGTGTAAAAAAATCCGTGTAAATTTTTTCCCAAAAATATTCTTTGTACCGACTCAGTGCTCTGGCTCCGCCCCTGCATATTGCACTATTGCATAAGCAAAGCTCCTGCGTAGTGCACTATTGCATAAGCAAATACTTCTTCTGTTCCGATATATCTATCTAGCTTGACATTTGTTTTTATACAATTAATTTACCATTTTCCCATGAGGAGATTAATGGGACCCTTCCCCGGACCCTCACTAATGTGCACCAGGCTCCCCCTTCTTTACAATAAAAATTTGATCAACCTAATACACTTTATGAACTTTGTGGTTTGATCAACCTAGGGCCTACACACACTTATAGGAATATAGGGAGTATAACGTACATATCCTTGTTGAAGATAATAGTAGTCTGCATCATCAGTATCAATCTGTGCTTCCCTGACCTAAAGAACAAAAGAACCAATATTTCAGAAAGTAGAGGTAAGCCTCCGCAAGGAAGAAAAACATGGAAGGGGGGCATAAGGAAAAATCAATTGATTTGACGGCTTATTTTGGTGTACGAGGCACCCAAAATATGGAGAAAGGAGTCTCACTTCTCTTTGGAATATAAGACTATCATTTTGTGTGCTCAAATCACTTGGTTCTACACTTGTTGTTGAATTCTGATCCATAGTCATTGTTGATAGCATTTTCCCACCTTGTGTTTCAGAGGTAATTTGTTTCCATCCCAATTTGACGAAACTTTTTCCTTGCTTAGTAAGCCGATAACCCTGAGAAGGCAATCATGGACATTTTGATGATCCTCGCACTTTGATTTCTATATATGATGGTGGACATATTACTAGAGGCTGTCTAATGAAACTTCGAAGAATCTAACTATTTTCTTCCAGAGATAAAACAATGTACTGAATGGACAAACACTTTTGTTTCAGTATACATAATCATAAAATATTATAAGCGATGGAAAAGTTGCAATTATCAACTATTGCAGCAGTATCATTCTAAAAGAAAATAAGTATAAGATCTCATTCTCCAGCTTACCTTGTGATTCAGAACATCTGTTGGAACGTCTACATTCAAAAAACAATTTATTGGATAAGTTCTATTCCCAACTTCAGCCATTATTGCAGTAATTATGGGTATGCAAGCCTCAGCAGCTAGTGTAAAGTCATTAACATTGCTCTTCCCACCAACCCTGTCAACAATTTTGATGTTAACCAAATACTCCGTAATAATTTATTAAATGCAAAATAACCTGAATGTTTTGATTTAGGTGCATTTATGGAAGATGAAGTGGGGCATTGCACTGCACCATAAATTTTATTATTATTTTCATATGCAGGCCCATATAACATAAATAAAGATGTTATAAAAACTTTGTCAGGGCATGGAGTCCTGTTAATATACCAAAACTAAAACCTTTTGTTGTTTGACCGACAGTGAAACCATACTTCTTAATACATATTAATGCGGTATATATACCCAAGCCATATTGTTGAGAACACCAAAGAGATTACACAGCTGACCACCTGAGGGACTAAAGCACTTAGAGTCCGTTTGGTAACTATGAAATTAGTTGCATCAGCTGAATCTACTGAAATTGTTGAAGTTATGAATTAAACAGCTGAATTGGCAGAACTTCTAAATTTGTCTGCTTCAAAAACATCAGCCAATTCAGGAAAAAAGTAATTTAACGCATCATTTTTAAGAAATTCCTCAAAATAAAAGTAAAACAAGGACAATGTGCAAAAATAGGAGTAAGTGTGTTTTATTCCCACAGTAGGCCTTATTTAGCCATATTAAAAGAATAAAACGATAAAAACTTCTCAAACTAGGAGTGAATGAGTCTTATTTGGGAGGAAAATAATGACACTCCTATTTGAGAAATCATTCTGTGTTTTGGTCCTATTTAGGGCATTTGCTCTACTTTTTTATTTTTTTATTGTTACACAATACAGCGCGCTAAAATCAAAAGTTCAGTCATCATCATCATTACCCCAGTGCCGCAAAGGCTCTCACCTACGGTGGGGTAACTGAAAATAAAAAGTTCAGTGTTTGGTAAAAAACGAAAAATGTATTTACTAAACGGGGCCCTAATCTAAGCTGTTTTGCTGCTGCTTGTGCCCACTTCCTTAAACCCACCTTATACCCACCCATGTTCACAGACAAGTTTTGTCTCTGAATCCCGTTTAAGTTAGGTATAAGGAAGTGGGTACAAACAGAACTTTTCTAACCTAAATCTTGAGTACCGTGTCAAAGGACGGATTACAACACTGCCTAGGTACCGTGTCAAAAGACGGTTTACAGACAAAAAAGAAGAGGAGGTGGTGCAACATGAGAACCCTTCTTGCCCGTGGCTAGAAAAGAAGAAGCTTTCTGTAACTGATCCAGAACATTAGTAGCTTCAATGATAAATTATTGTATTACAATACGGAAGTATATACTGTCCCTGGTGACTTACAATTGAATCATCCTAATGTGATGTAGATGTGCATCTTTGAATTTACACTAGTTTGAATGAGGAAAGATAACTTTGTCTTAAAGGCATGTGCTTACCAGTCATATGAAAAAGAAACAGAGGGAATATTATTGAAGAAAGCCTCTCGGGCACCAGCAACTGTCCCCGAGTATATGCTGCACTTCAAAAAGTCATTAATCAATATCAACACAAGAATCAAATAGGATTACTACAGTCTAATTTGGATGGAATGTCAAGTGTGATATTATACTAAACAGTCTTACCGTCTAGACTAAAGCAAAACAATAGACATGTTTTCTTCACCTGAAAAAGGGTAAATTTGGAATCTTATAAGATCTAGTCTGAATCTTTTTTGTTTGGTCTGAAATTCAGGATGTTTATTATCTTGTCTGATTTTCTTATCTGAAATAAAGCAATTGGTTTGATCTGTATAATCTGAATCTTTCTAGTCTCATCTAATCTGCATGTTTATGGCTTGATTACAAAATAATAATAATAATAATAATAATAATAATAATAATAATAATAATAATAATAATAATAATAATAATAATAATAATAATAATAATAATAATAATAATAATAATAATAATAATAATAATAATAATAATAATAATAATAATAATAATAATAATAATAATAATAATAATAATAATAATAATAATAATAATAATAATAATAATAATAATAATAATAATAATAATAATAATAATAATAATAATAATAATAATAATAATAATAATAATAATAATAATAATAATAATAATAATAATAATAATAATAATAATAATAATAATAATAATAATAATAATAATAATAATAATAATAATAATAATAATAATAATAATAATAATAATAATAATAATAATAATAATAATAATAATAATAATAATAATAATAATAATAATAATAATAATAATAATAATAATAATAATAATAATAATAATAATAATAATAATAATAATAATAATAATAATAATAATAATAATAATAATAATAATAATAATAATAATAATAATAATAATAATAATAATAATAATAATAATAATAATAATAATAATAATAATAATAATAATAATAATAATAATAATAATAATAATAATAATAATAATAATAATAATAATAATAATAATAATAATAATAATAATAATAATAATAATAATAATAATAATAATAATAATAATAATAATAATAATAATAATAATAATAATAATAATAATAATAATAATAATAATAATAATAATAATAATAATAATAATAATAATAATAATAATAATAATAATAATAATAATAATAATAATAATAATAATAATAATAATAATAATAATAATAATAATAATAATAATAATAATAATAATAATAATAATAATAATAATAATAATAATAATAATAATAATAATAATAATAATAATAATAATAATAATAATAATAATAATAATAATAATAATAATAATAAT